ATACATTTTTCTGATGTATTTTAAATAGTCAGAAGTTTTACTTATTAGTATTTCTATGAATAATAAATTTAATGATAGAACGATCTTACAATTTTTTTTTCAAATAATTTTTTAAAATAAAAAATAAAATACAATAAATATAATAGGGGAGACCGAGGCTATCCTGCAGGTGGAGTAAAAATACAACCAGCGATAACTTTTTCATTTTTAGGGCAAAAGACATATTTATATACATACCATCTATCATATTTTTTGCCTTAAGGAAAGAATACTCATTCAAATTTTATGAAATTTATATGCCATATTGCTGAATGCTAGGTTACAGATTAAATTATATCCAAAGTTTCTAGCTTATCTTGAAAAATTTATATAGCCATTTAAGCTAATTCACTACCCCCGGGGCAAAAAAAAATTAAATTGCATTGGAATAATTATTAAAATCTAAAAACGATAAAAAATAAATAAAATTGGGTTTAATGAGTGGCAAAAGTTATAAGTATTAAAAACGCGAAAACGGGATAAAGTGTACCAAATGTCTTGAATGGGCACATTCAAGTTGTGCTAGGTATGATCTATTTTATGTACCCCTTGTGAAGATTAATTTTTTAAAATATTTATCATTTGTAAATCATATGTGTTCATTATTTTATTTTTATTTCTCTTTAGCTTTCACCTTTTCTGGTGGTAAGCTCCTTCAACATCTCTCTCCACTTTATGTTATTCATACAATCTCTTTTATCTAATTTATACTTCTTTATATTGGCTCTAACTTTATGGCCCCATTGAAGTTTTGGCCTTCCTCTTTTACGTTTGCCCATCACTTCCAAACTCTCAACCTTATTTCCTATGTAGTTCATAGGCCTTCTCATTGTGTGCCCATACTACCTAAGTCTGTTTACCATTAACTTAGTCTTAATGGGCACTACCTTTAAACTACTTAGTATTCTTGTACTGAGCACTTTATCCTTTCTTGTTACCCTAGCAATCATCCTCAGCATTCCCATCTCCATAGTTTGTAGACTTCTCTCGTTTGATTCTTTGGTTTGGCCATGTTTCCGAACTATATAGAATAGTTGGTTGTACTATGGAACTGTAAATTTTTCCCTTTAATTTGTGTGGGATTCTTTTGTCAAATAGCACTCCAGATAAAGATCTCCACTTTAACCACCCTTGATTAATTTTACTCTTTATCTCTTTTTCTATTGTGCCGTTTGTTTGTATAGTGCCAAATATTTGCAGCTTTCAATTGCCGATATCTGCCATTCATTTATATCAATACTCTCTGTTTCATCTCCTCCTATCACCATATACTCCGTCTTTTCTTTATTTACTTTTAGTCCGTGCTTTTCTAGGATATTTATCCAACTCACTAATCTTTCTTTCATTTCATCCTTGGATTCGGCAAGTATCACAATATCATCTGCAAATATCATAATCCACAGGACTGTTTCAGGTATAGACTCTGCTAATACATCTATTACTGTAATGAAGAGAAGTGGGCTGAGAGCCGACCCTTGATGAACTCCTTCGACTATTGTGAAGCCTGCTGAAGTACCTGTTGTGTTACGGACCATTGTTGTATGAGCCCATATACATATCCTGTATTATTCTTATATATTTTTCGGGAACCTTTTTGTGGCGTAGCGCCCACCAGATAAGTTTTCTTGGGATTCTATCGAAGGCCTTTTCTAGATCGAGAAATACCATGTGTAGCTTTTTGTTCTTTTCCCTGTATTTTTCACTCATTTGCCTAATTGCGTGGATAGCATCAGTTGTTGATCTTCCAGGCATAAAGCCAAACTGAGTCTCTCTTATTTCGAGTATGTCTCTTAATCTTTTTTCTATTATTTTTTCGTATAGTTTTAGACAGTGTGACATTAGTTTTATGCCCCTGTAATTTTGACAATTGTGCGGATCCCCTTTATTTTTGAAGATAGGAACTAGATAGCTCTGCCTCCATTTTTGGGTAACCTCTTCATTTCCAAGTATTTTATTGTACAGATTTGTGAGGAGATGTATTCCATCATCTCCTAGTGCTTTAAGGCTTTCTATTGGAATATCGTTTGGACCCCTAGCTTTGTTGTTTTTCATATGCTTGAGACATGTGATTATTTCTTGTTCTGTTATAGGTTGTACAAGGTTTTGACATGGGTAGTGTTCGTCTAGATGTAGTATGTGGGGATTAAAGTTGAGAAACTCCTGAAAATATTCTTTCCATCTGTTCATTATTTCTTTTTCCTTTATTATTAATTTCCCATCTTTATTCTTGATTACTTTCGGAGCTCCGTTTATATCCCTATAATTTTTTTCTCGCTGTTTGGCTAATCTGTATATTTTATTTTGCCCTTCTTTGGTATGTAGTTCTTCTTACATGTCATTGTATGCCATAGATTTGGCCCTAGCCACCGCCTTTGTAGCTAATCTCTTAGATTTTTTGTATCTAGTCTTGTCATCTGGGTTTTTGGATTTGTACCATATTTTATAAAGGGCTTTTTTCTCCTGTATAGTGGTTTGTACCTTTTCATTTTACCACCATAGTTCTTTGTATGATTTATTACCTCCCCTTGTCAAGCCTAGTGTCGATTTGGCAGTGTCTATTAATCTGAATGAAAGGTCTGTCCACATTTTTTCACTGACTTGTGAGGAATCTATTGTTTCAATGTTTGCATTGATTGCAAAGGCATCTGTCATTGTTTTTAATTTGTCCCATTTGATGCATGGTTCCAGTTTTATCTTGTTTTGAGTGGATTTATTAGAGATGTGTAAATCCATGACTAGTAGCTTGTGTTGTGCGGCGATATCTTCTCCTGGGATGACTTTGCAGTCTATTACATCTTTTAATCTTCTGCGAGAGATTAGCATGTAATCTATCTGTGTTTTCCTTGTACCACTTTCGTAAATGACTGTCTTTTTTCCTATAGTAGGTGTTGATTAAGGCAAGGTCGAAGGCTTGCGCAAATTTCAGTACATGCTCTCCTTCATCATTTCTTTCTCCATATCCAAAACTACCATGATGCCTTTTGTAGCTATCTCTTGCTTTCCCCACATGTGCATTTAAGTCACCACCAATTATGACTAGGTCATCCTTAGGGATTTCCATTACAGCTTCATCAAGGATAGCTCTAAAGTCATCTTTCTCTTCTTCCTTGCAACCCGTTTGAGGAGCATATACTGAAAGGATGTGTAGTATTGATTAACCAATGCAGAGTTTTATCTTCATTAGTCTATCAGAGATCCTGTTGACTTCTACTACTGAGGAGGTTAGATCTTGACTGAGGATGATGCCGACACCGTTCCTATTGCTAACAATTCCATTATAGTACAATTTATACCCATCTCCAATCATCAAAGTCTTCTGTCCCTTCCATTTCGACTCTTGTATGCACGCTATATCAACTTTTCTCTTGTTCAACATTGATGCCAATTCTCTCGTCTTACCTTTAAGCGTCCCAATATTCAAACTTGCTAATCTTGTCTTCTTTGCTTTGACCTTTACTTTACTCTTCACAGGATGGAGGTCTACACCCTGCGCGTCGCTTGGAGAGAATATTTCCATTTGTTTCCTTCATTTTGTTTATTGGACAGGTATCCTTAGCACCCGGCTCTCCAGGCCTGTCGGTGACCGGGGTGTCATCTCTAAGCTCCGAAATTCATCTTACCATATGTCTTAACACATCAGTCATCGAAGAAAAACTTGAAAGTTTTTATGCTCCTTACCAGGATTGAACCTGCGTCCTTCTTCGTTCTTCTGTTTCGAAGCATACATCTAACCCATTAGGCCACCCTGGCGATAATATGTGTTCATTATAACAATAAAAAATAAAAATTTTGTGTTTTGTATGTTGAATTTTATATTTGCCAAATTTTATCATAAAAGAATAAAACACCTATATAATCACAAATTTATCCTATTAATATTAACGGATAAATAAAAATTAGTATTTTAGATTCGATTTAGTATAGCCCCGGTCAAGATGGGACCGAGGACCATTGACAAAGGTCGGACTGAACCATTGATCTGATTTACTATAAATCACCCAAATATTCCTATATTTTATATTCATTCAATATACGTTTCCAATGGGAAATCTAACATGTTGCACAATATAAATGATTATATTACTTAATTTTTAAGATTATGTCAGTTATTTTTTTATATATATTTATCTTGCGACCTTAGCTTATATATATTTTTATTACCATCATTGAGGTCTTAAAAACGAAATGTCGCATTTTATTTAAAATAAGAGTGTTAATTTTACTTTTTAGATGGAGTTAAAAAAAAAATTTTTACGACCATTTTAAAATATCATTAAAATTGTTTGTTTAGAAAAAAAAGGAATAACATAATTTTTCCTAATAAAACAAATTATATTATATAATATTAAATTACGATCTCGGAATATTAAATTTCGAAACTTTTTTTTGGAAATCTATTGAAATTTGTCAATGCTCGTTTTCAAAATTTTTTTTAAAAGTTGAACACTAACCAAAGTATTACAATTGATTGACAGTATCAAAAATGTTAATGACTAATAAGCCTATATTATAAAACTTATATATTTTAATAAATAAAAGTAATTTTATTTCGACCTCTCAATTTGAAAAGAAGAAGACATTTATGAGGAATGATAAGAAATGTTTTGGAATAAAAGAAACTATATTTTACTTTCTTTTATTATAAATTAAAAATAACCTAAAAATAAATTTTCTAAAAGTAATTAGCGAAGCAACTAGAAAATATATTTTTTTAATATCCTTTATAGAGTTTAGAAGATAACTAGTGCAAAATATTTTTACTGGTCGGGCCAGAAATTTTCAAAATTTTTTAAAGCTTATAATTTAAGGTTTAGGTAAATTTATGGTTTTTTCCTTCATGGAAAATGAGCCAAGAATATTTTTTGAAAATTGTCACGTACTGGTTGTGCCGGGCCGCATCGACCTTTGATACTCTATACCTATTTTTTTATTTATGCAAAATAATTCCCATATTTATTTAGGGAATGGAATATAAAAACCAATAAATGACGAAAATTCACTTAAAGTATAAATGATTATAATGTAGAGGTAAAGCAGAATAATCACCTATCTTTTAATTATAACAAAACTTCCGATGAAATTAATCAAATGCATCAAAAGGACCTGATGTGCTCTTGATTTCTTACACAAGTATAAAATTATATACTATATAACATGCTACAGTTATAAGCCGCTTTAACGTTTCTCAAATCTCATGGAACAAGGGATTTAAAGCGTTTAAAAGTGGGAAACGTTAAAACCAAAAAAACAAAATCTAAATTATAAGATTTTTAGGACCAGAAACCAACGTTAAATCGGGAGAACGAGCGGATTATACACTGTACATAAAATCAATCTTATATATATTACCTGTGCGTGGCCGGCTTATGCCGCGGCTACCGGCAATTTGCCATGTAGAAGAAACCACCACTAAGTTCAGTGGGCTGCCGAGCTCACCGCCGATTTTAAATTTAGGGGCAGGGTGTGGGTTTTTAAAAAAAATTCCATTTAATTGTATTTTATATATTTATTTTCTCACATCAACAATTTAAAATTAAATTAAGATGTGAATTATATTAATATTTTCATTTACAATTTTTATTCTTATTTATGGATGAATTAAATTTGAACAATGATAATAAATAAAATTAGTTTGATCTGGTCTGAAGGTGAGGTTTAGTATTTTAGAATATAAGAAAAACACTATAATGCATGCCATTCACAATACAGAATATATTTAAAGAGTCTGTTGAATTTCTTTCCATCCAAAAGGAATCTACAATTTCTAGGTTTATTATTTCAATGAATTTGATAGCTCCTATATTATTTGCTTTATAAAAATGTGCTAAAGAAACTTGATCACAGGTTTCCAATTACCGATTTAAATAATTTAAAATTTATTATTTATAAATGAATATTTATTTAAAATATTTTGAGAAAGCTACTTGATCCAAGATTCCAAGGTCTCAAAATTATTTTGATACAAATTCTACCACACCATTACAATTTTTAATTAGACATTCAGAACTTATCGACTTGATAGATATACAGAATATGGAGATTAAAATCAGGTCCGAGAAACCGAACCCTCAAAATTTCGTTGAAACCAAACCAGAACCATTTTTTAAAATTTAGGGTTCAGGGTCCATGCTTTTTAAAAAATGTTTTCATTTTATTTTAAACTTTTATTTATTTTGAAAAATATGTTAAAAATAATATAATTTAAAAAATATGCAATTTATGATTTTCATTAATAAAATATTTCCTATTTAGAAAATATAAATTAAATTAAACTTAATTAATTACTAGGTTATGAATCATTCTCATCAAAATTTATATTATCGGATCTACGTGGAAATTCTCATCACTATAATTTATATTGTCGGATCTACGTGGAAGACTTAATGACGAAATTTTAGAAGATATTAATGATTTTTTTAAAATTGAAATATAATATTATTGTTTAAAATGTATTGTAGTATTATATTATACTAACTGATAGCCCGTCAAGAATGACAGGGAATTAGAATTTTCTCCGTATGGATAAATCATAAATTTTACCTTCATTTGACGATGGATGAATTAGAGTCAAATTAGAGGAATAGATTATCCGTATTCATCCTTCTAATTCTATAAATTTTTAGAGAAAAGACCAAATATATTATTGAAAATATGAGATATAAAAAATATGATTTGTGAGTTATGATATTTATCAATTCTTTTAAGAAATTTTCCACATCCAGACGCAATGGTTTTTGCTCTCTCACTTCGTTTAAAATCTACATTCTTCTCAAAGAATCATTTAAATGCTTTTAAAACCTTCCAAAATACTCTTTTAAAAAAAGACCTGCCATAGATTCGAATCAATTATGGGGGCAAACCAGATTATCTCACAAACACTGTGGTAGTATCCATGGGCTATTTAGAAGATTATTAGCAAGAATAATTGCCATGGGTCAAAACTCAGGGTCTTAACTTATTAAGTATACTTATCAATTAGGATTTGGTGTTAAGGGAGAAGGCAAAATAGCTCATGCCATTTGTATTCCAAAATCCTCCTGCTAACATGGTTATTATCAAAGTAGACTTTAAAAATGCTTTCAATACAAATTTTGTGAACATTTCATAAATTGTTTTTATCCCAAATTTCCTGTTCATTCAAAATTCTTAGAGACATACTGTAACATTAAAACTCCTTTATTCAGCCCACATGTCATAGATTCTGACCAAAGTCAGCAGGGGGCAAACGCCCTCGTTTAATTTACGTTGGTATTCATTATCTCATCCATTATCTTAAATCTAAATTTGATTTGGGTATAAATTTGGTATCTTGATGATGGAACAATCTGTGATGCTCTTCCTAAAATAATTGATTTTCAATTTCTTGAAGTCAATTTTAAAAGACTCATTCTTAATAAGTTCAAATCCGAAATCTGTTTCCATGATAACAATATACAAAACCCTCATCTAGCAAAATTAAATTTTTTATTATTTATAAATAATAAAAATTTTTTAAAAAAATAAGGAAATTAATATAATTTAAAAAAAGTATAAACTTGAATTAAGAAAAAAGCATCGCTGGGATTCGAACCTATGACCCTCCTCACATTTGTAAACGACGCTCTTGCCGATTACCCCATAGACGCTTTTAAAAAATCGTAAATTTTTAAATATATATTATAAATTGTGACACTGTACACGGCTTTTATATTATTAAATATATATTATAATTATGATGATAAATCATTTTTATGGAAATATTAGTTAAAATAAATTTTAAAGAAAAATGATGTTTCTATTATTTTAACTAATTATTATAAGTCATTATTTTTCTGATCTCCTAATCCTGAACCCGAACCGGGTGGAGAGAGTTTTCACTGAACCCAAACCCGAACCCATTTTTTAGAAGGAGGGTTCACAACCCTGGTTAAAATAAAGGGTAACGCTATATTGCGAAAGTCGCTTGAAAACATTCCCTCTAAGTAACGATTATAATTATGCTATTATCTACTTGACCAGCAAACCAAAACAAAATGCACCACTTTTAAAAAAGAAATAGACCGTTAGAAAGTTATTTTATCGCTGGGTTGTAGGGTTAATACTAAATGCTAAATGAACATCGTCATGCCCCACCAATCGAATCATAATTATTTAAGAAAATTATAATTAAACTAAATTGATTTCGAATTTATTTATATTTCTTATTTAATATTTTATTTGCTTTTGAAATTTATATCATATATAGATTAGAGGTCTGCAATGGGCGAAACAAAAATTTGGACAATGGGTGGGTAGGTAGGCAATTTTTAAAAATCAGTAGGTGCCAGGCCATATAAAATTAAATCTTTTTCATTATAATTTTAGTATAGATCCATAATGATACAATGCTTTTTATATATTATATATATAATATTTTTCTCATCGTTTATCCGACGTATAAATGTACATTTTTAAAATGAAATCATTTTTTGTTATTTCATAAATAAAAATGTATTGGAAATTAAATTTTATATTACTTATTTGGCAATATAATTTTATACATAACACAATATGCTTCTTTTAAATTGTATTTGACAAATATCAAGTATCTAATATAAAAAAGGCGGTGGAAGAAATTTTTTAAAACATCTTAATTTTTATTCCATGCTTCTATGCTTCTTTGCTAAATGAAAAAATATCAAATAAATATTTTCCTTTTAATTTTGAAATATTAGATATATTACTAAATTGTTTAGCCCATATGCTGAACACAATTCTAAGGAATACATTTCAACCAAATTTTATTTTGGAAACTACTACCGAGATAATCAATATTTTGTCAACTGCAAAATTGTTGACATATTTTAAAAAAAGGGAATGTGAAACATTCATAGATTTATAAGTCTATGGAAGCCAAGACCTTAGAACAAAATATTCGCATAAAATGGAATGCACAAAAAGCATTTATATAATATATGACGAGAATTCTGTGTTTTTATAGTCTCGTGACATGATTGGTAAAATGGGGTCACACACACTATATTTTCTTAAATTATAAAATATTTTTGCCGGTATATCTGAATCATTTTTTTATATAAGGTTTTAAAAAATCTAAAGAAGATGACGAGCGTTAGTTAAAAAAAATTTTTAAATAACGGGCGGGAGGGCAAAAAATTCTAATAACAATGGACGGCCGAGTTTACATTTTTTCCAAAACAATTAGTCGGCGAGTGGGTCATTTTTTAAAACAACGAGTGGATGGGTTTGTTGATTAAAACCAACCCATTGTGGATATCTGATGTAGATAGCTGTTTTATTTTTGTATTATTAATAAATAAATAAAATATTAGTGACTCTAAGTAATCTTTGATTTAACATCTATTTGCGGAGGCAAGGAATATAAAAATTATTAAAGGAAGACAATGAAAAGATTAAAAACTGTATTACCTATAATGAAACTACGAGTACCAAAATAAATTGTATAAAAATAAAATTGTATTATTAATTATTCTCATTAAAAAATATTGAATTAATAGTGTCTCTTGGTTCCCCGTTAATTTTTTGATTTAAATTGATATAAGATGACTAATAATGAATTTATTTATTTATTATGAATCATAGAAAATATACTACCCCGGGGTATAAATCGATGCTAAAAATTCGTTTCAAATCGTTAGAAGAATTCAAAAGTGGAATAGCTTTTACATATGAAAATATAACGAATAATCTCAAAAATTGGACCTACATTTTTATTCCCTTAATACAAATACTGCTTAAGTTATATGCATCCATATTTTATTGTACTCGATATTTGGATGTTATCATAATTAGTTTTCCTTCATTCGAAATTTCAAAATACTTGCCAATTTTTTGCATCTTTTACAATATTATGCACTGTGCTACAAGTAGGTCTCCCAATATTTATGATTTGACCTCTAGAAAATTCAAGTCAGATGATTTGTTAATATCCGATTATTGGCTTTTAGCAAAAGATAATGTTTCAATAAATGGATATATAAATAAAAATATAAAAGGTCGTTTAAAACATACCAATAAAAATTCAGATTTCAATAATATTAATAAAAAGGTTTATTCAACGTTAATTGATAATATATTTAAATTAGATCATTTTAAAAATACATACCCTAAAAAATATAATCACAAACACTATAAATTTCCGCGAAGGACTAAAAGGGTCAAAACATACTACATCAAAGATAGAAATCCATTCGTAATAACGGATACTACAACTGGTAAAATAAGAGGCATTCGATCTTACCCTTCGCATCTTACGGATCGTGAGGATTTATCAGTCGATACCTACTTAGGCATACCTTTCGCTCAACCCCCGGTCGGTATCTTACGATTTAAAGCACCCCTACCAGTGAAGCCCTGGAGCCATATATACAATGCTACTAAATTGCCAAATTCTTGCGTCCAAACACTTGATACAGTTTTCGGGAACTTTACAGGATCTGTTATGTGGAACGCCAACACTTATTTAAGTGAAGACTGTTTGTACTTAAACCTATGGGTACCTCATGATCAAAATTTAAATTATCGCAATAACTTGTTGCCAATAATAGTATGGATATACGGTGGTGGTTATTACAGCGGTACCATAACTCTGCCATTGTACGATGGTAGTATTATGGCTTCAAAAATGAGAGTTATTGTCATGTCAATGAACTACAGATTGGGTTCCTTGGGGTACCTTTATCTAGGCAACAAGGAAGCTCCCGGTAATCAGGGACTTTGGGATCAATTACTAGCTATGAAGTGGATGAAAGCAAATTCCAAAAACTTTGGTGGCGATCCCAATAAAATAACATTGATGGGGGAATCAGCGGGGGCATCAAGTGTAGCTTTTCATCTTTTATCACCTCTAAGTAAGGATTATTTTAATTATGCTGTTCTGCAAAGCGCGTCAGCGACTTCCCCATGGGCATTGGTTAACCCTCAAGAAGCTATTCACAGAGGTCTACTTCTAGCCGATTCCATGAAATGCCCTTATAAAACACGGGATAAGATATTTGCCATATTGGATTGCCTGAGGAACTTTAACCATTCAATTATACTTGAAAGAGAGTTCGTAACCAACAAAGTAATGCAGTTTTCTTTCGTACCAGTGGTAGATGGAAAATTCCTGGTCTCTCATCCTCGACGCTTGCTAGATGCAGGACTATTTAAAAGAACTCCCATACTATTGGGTACCAACTTAAACGAGGGCACATCCTTCAGCATTTATTACCTAGATAAAATGTTCCAACCTCTTAGAAAAGATGTAAGCTATCTGACAACAGCCGACATCTCAACTGCAGCTAAGGACATATACTGGCATCTCAATCCTATAGCACAAGATGCAGTGTATTTTCATTACAATGACTGGGAAAATTTGAACCACACGGATGCTCTTCAGGCTATCGATCGAATGGCTGGAGATTTCTGGTTTACGTGTAATGTCAATGAGTTTGCCAGTATTTACGCTTTTGAAGGATCTCCCGTTTACATGTATCAATTTGCTCATAGGTCTAGCCAAAATCCATGGCCGATTTGGATGGGTGTTATGCATGGTGATGAAATTTCCTATGTCTTCGGAGAACCCTTTAAGAAAGATGGGGACTTTTTGGAGGAAGAAAGAGATTTGAGCAGAAGAATGATGAGATATTGGACTAACTTTGCTGCCACTGGGTAAATAAATCTGATATAATATGTTTAAACTATTGTCATAATATATAGTTGCTTTTTTAAATTAAATACATTCATATTTTTTATCAAACGAAAGAAAGAAGCTAGATCTAGTAAAAAACTGCCCTACTCATTTAGAGAATTTAATCATAAAAAGTTACCTTAACTTGAATAATCAAATACATTATTAGAATTTTATTATTCGAGTCTAATCGGGTTGAATTTACTTTGGCTAGATCTATCTAATTTAAAAAACTAATTTTATCATACTGTTACATTTCTAAATGGAGATATGGAATGTTTTAAAACAAATAGTAATCCCAACATATCACCCGATGATGGCTTCGTCGATATAAAATGGCCATTATACACCGCATATCAGAAAAACTTTTTAAAGTTAACCATGAATATGAGTATAACGACCAATCATGTGCATAATGGACCAAGCATGAAAAGTTGCGCATTTCAAAAACTATACTTACCTCAATTTAACCAAGAAATAGGTATTTAACTTTTACATAATATTTGAGATGAATTTATAAATAGTTTATTAAAGATCAGCAGACGCAGGCTATATAGTGCTCGCAAATTGAGCGTTTCAAACCAAGCTTTGCATACGTAAATAATGCATTTCAAATGGTATTGTGCAAATTGGTCAAATTACCCTTTGGTGCTAGAAACCATTTTAAAAAACTAACTGGTTTGCTTCTTTAAATATTTTTTTTTATAACTTAAGGCTAGCATTTTTTTGTCCCTCCCAATAACAAACTTCATTTTTTTATAAAATAAAATTTAAAAACCCTTTAAACAAGGGACACTTTTTATTAAAAAAAAGTACGGTAAAATGCAAACGCTCAATTTGTGTGCATTATTAGAACTAATTATTTTTTTAAAAAGGCCCAGAAATTAATATATTTTTTTATAAACTCAAGCTTATCCCATAAATGGGCATCTCTGTGCAAGTCACTTTGTTGTTATTATTAGTTTAAAAAGTTAATTAGAATATTTTAAACATTTATTTAGAAAACTTGAAAAAACAACCGTGTCTTGTCAAATCTCCTAATAGCACATCCTTATTGCAAAAGTCTCCAATTTTGATCATCTTGTGTTTAATATTTATACATCAAATTTTTTATATAACTTGAAAAGCTGAAGAAAAATTGGGAATAACTATACTTAAATAATCCATTTGTCTGAAAAATAAATCGATTTTAAATTATATATCATCATAATTTTTTTAACAAAATATATATACTCATTAATTTAAGTGAAATAAAATTTATAATTCATTAAGATAAAGGGTATACATGTATTAATGAACATAGTTTATAATTTTGATGTTTAAACTTAATTTTAATTCTTTGATACATGAGTAATTTATTCAAATAAAAATATCGATGAAGTATTTAGAACCATATTATAAAATTTTAAATAATATTTTTTAAAAATTTATTTTTACAAAGTTACAGGTAAATTCATTCCGATAACATAGGCGTTACCAGGTGTTTGCTAAAGGGGGAAATAAAACACTATTAGGTGGAGTTCCCTCATAAATTTTATTAAAGGTTTTTAAGTTCAGTTATTGCAAACGCTGTGTTATATAATTACTTAAATAATTTTGTACTTCCACTTTTTTTTAAATTAAAAATTCTTCTCCTGGAAATTTTGGTATAATTAACTTTTACTTATTTTTCTTTTAAATTTTGTTTATAATATACATTTTTTGAGGAGAGGGTGATGGGCGTGTAGAGGGGAATTTTTATCAGCTTAAAAAAAATGATATTTACATTAGAAAAATTTCCGAATGACACTATGCTACGCCTATTTCTGAATTTATCATAAAACTGCGTTATAAACATATGAATAAGCTTATTCAAAATCAATATTTTATTTTAATGCTACATAATTAGATGGAATCATAAAAAATATCAATCCATTAATTACATATAAACCTACTCGCCGATGAAACTATCAGCAGGCAGTACGAGGTTTAACGAATCAGCGGCCGCCAAATCACATTTCAGCCACCATCATCAAAGGCGGCATGAATCGGCCCAACGATATATTTATTTTTATTATATATAACATTATATTATTACTTTTTATAAATATTAAAAAAATAATCATAATCTCAATTTTTTTAATGTCATGTATATAAATTTTTTTATTCAAATTTGCCGGACATGATTTGCTTGAGTTTAACATCTACCCAGTGATAAAGAACTCTCTTTTACTAGGTAACTTTGTCAAAATTATCCATAAAGGCTACTCCATGCCCGAGTAGGGATCGGAAAAATTAATTCGACCTCGAGCATGAGTCTAAAAATTGACCCTGGCTGAGCACGAAGGGAAATAAGTACTCGAGTACGAGTCGAAAAAATTGACCACGACGAGCAGACTTTATGAACAAAAACTCGACTTCTTAGTAATACTACCGAATTCTTAAAGCTTAGAATTCTGGGTCATTGGATTTTGAGGTCACAGTATATATTTTTGATTCGTGCTCGGATCTGGGTCTATTTTTACGACCTAAACCCAACCTGGATCGCTGCTAGATTGATCTTTGAGTATTTAGACAATGCTACTAAAACCCATGTACAAACATCTAACATATATTTTGTTATTATTGCACATATAAATATTAAAATAACAAATAAACAGTATTTATTAATTATTATATTTTTCCCTAAAAAATATTATTGAGCCATATTTGTATGTAACTAAAATATTTTTAAGATTATCTTTTGTCAAATTCTATCTACTAGGGCTATCTAACCTAGCCTTTGGTCAGGGAATAAGAGATGGAATCCCAAATGGTGGAGACAGTTTAAAAAATTAAAAAAATGTTGAGTATAATATAGGTGCTGGAGATTGGAAAATTTAATAAAATATTATTCATATTATATATGACCTATTGCTAAGCTTTAATAAAGGCAGTGTCCTTAAAAATAAATGGGATATAAAGTCCTAATAAAAATATATTGCCATCTATCGCCTTTCACAGGATCTTAGTTTCAGGGTTAATGGCAGTTCAATCATTTACCCGGTAATAGGAAAAAAAACCCCTGGAAAAAAAACCCCCGGAAAAAAATCCCCGGAAAATAAACCCCCAGGAAAAAAAACCCCCGGAAAATAAACCCCCAGGAAAAAAAAACCCCCAGGAAATAAAACCCCCGGAAAAAAAATCCCCGGAAAATAAACCCCCAGGAAAAAAAACCCCCGGAAAATAAACCCCCAGGAAATAAAACCCCCGGAAAAAAACCCCCAGGAAATAAAACCCGCGGAAAAAAACCCCTAGGAAATAAAGCCCCCGGAAAAAAGTTTTAAAATGTATTTTTAATCAAAAGAATAAAAATTGTTTATCAATTAAAAACGCTATAATTGGTATTTATTTATAAAATTAAACAATAATAATTTGAATCTTTATGCCGTATATAAAGACAAAAAAAAAATTTTAATTTACAAAAATATTTTATTCATATTCTTCTTTTAAATGCCGAGCAATACTTTTTTCAACACTCGATAATCAAGACCCGGTTCTTGATACAGCTCATAATCATCCATCAAATATTGATGGACTAGTAGCAATGAAATCCATTGCTAACATAAAGAAGCGATGTGCAGACTCTTTGGCAAAACCTCTTCAAATTTATGCAGAGGAAATTGTAAAATTAGACCAAAGAGTTCAGTCGCATATGTTATCAGAAGATTCTATAAAAAGAACTCTAAGGAATCACAAAGCAATGCAACACCCTTCAAATCTTGAGAATTTGGAAGACCTAGTTATTGAAGGTATTAGTTTAAATATAATTATATTTTCATAAAAATTTAAATATTATAGGTGATTGGGCAAATTGTGGCTCCCAGAACTCAAAACGATTTTTATTATTTGATAATGGCCCACAAGCTGAAGAACGCATAATAATGTTCGCAACAGATGATTCCTTGAATCTAATATTTAATAGGACAGAGTGGTATATACAGGACCGATGAAACTAAGTTTTTTTTGTGGCATGATGGACGGCTTAGCATTTCCGTTATGTGATATGGGCAATGCAATGACATTCCTGAGATCGGTTACTCCGAGCAATGGTAAGGATATTCTTGATTATTTCGATAAAAATTATGTCAATGGAGTATCAAGGGAGGTCATAAGAAGCAATTCTCAATCCCAAACACGTCGAATTGAGCCTCGATTTCCTCCAGAAACCTGGAACGTGAATCAGAGCACTCTCTCAGATGAAGAACGAACAAATAATCAATGCGAAGGTTGGAATCATCGTTTTTCTAATCTGGTTGGGAATAAACACCCATCAATCTGGGTACTCATTAAAAAAATGAAATGCGAGGTGGCTGCCGATGAAACCAAACTTGAAAGATGGCGCATAGGTAGTTGGACATCGAAAACAAAATCGCAGAGTTCTAACAACCAGATTCGGCTAAAGAAACTTTGCGAAGAATACCGTGATGGGGTGCGAAGCCTTCCAGATTTTATAAGAGCGATTTCCTTCAATATTCGATGTCAACCCATATAATTATTATTATAAATTATAAAATTTGTATATACATAATCATGATTTACCAATAAAATAAACATTTCTTATTTTGTCAAATTTAGTCTATTTAATATCATATTTAAAGATTGTATTTTTACTTTAGCAAATTTTTTTTACAATACATAGTTATTTTACTGAGGCATTTTTTCCCAGTACCAATTTAAACATCAGTTTTTCTTATTTAAGCATTTTTTTATGAAGAGTAGGCCAAATAAAAATATGCCTATATTATTAGGTCTTAATTAAATTCTATAAAAATGAAAAAAAATTCTGGGGGTTTTTTTTCCTGGGGTTTATTTACCGGGAGTTTTTTTTCCTGGGGGTTTATTTTCCTGGGGGTTTATTTTCCGGGGTTTTTCCTGGGGGTTTATTTTCCGGGGTTTTTTCCTGGGGTTTATTTTCGGGGTTTATTTTCCGGGGTTTATTTTCGGGGTTTTTTCGGGGTTTTCCAGGATTCCATTTACCCATATAAGTTAGGAATAATCGGATATAATCTTACGATATACTACGTTGTTTGCATTTCTTGTTTTATTTTCTAATAATCAATCTTTAGAATTGTTGAGAACAAAATTGAGACATAGCTACATATAGCTGCGTTGAAAAGCCAGTTGAGGTGAATAGACGCCAAGTTTGTTGGATAATTATGCCTGACCTTTACTAACGTTTATAACAAAAATAGGCCTAATGGGAATCTGGCTAGTTGGAATTAAACCTATTCTAGAAATAAAAAATAGTGCCGAGAAAGCTACGGAATAAATTCAGCTTCGATGATATTTGGCTTAAATGATAATATTCAATAAGATCAGAATCTAAATTTCGAATTAAAATAATTACTCTGACGTTGAGCAAAAGTGTTGTGGTAATGCTGATATTTAAATAGTTTAAAAATTCAGTTGATAAAATGTCGCTTATTCATTGGGATTCGTCTCCACAAAATTGGTCAAACAAATAAAAATTTATAGAAACTACATTTACGATTTTTCTGGTCTATATTGTAATCCAAAAATGATACAGGAACATGGTTAAAAGAGATATTGCCCTTGTTTATACCATAAACAAACTTGATAAGAACTTTTATGTTGTTATAGGGAACAATTAGAAATTTCTAATTAATCGCAAATGATGGCGAATCAAAAACAGTGATGAATCACCAATGGTGGAGAAACAGAGATTGCAAAATTGTCTGCAAAGTATTATAGTGTTCTATTTCCACTATTTTAAAAATGCATTTTTTTCGATAACGGAATTCTTCAATGCTATATTCTTTCGTGTAGCATTAAAAATGATATAATTTAGAATAATTCTTTATATGCATCATTACATTGTGGTCTCCACTGTTAAAAATACAAGAAATATTTTTGGAAAATTGATCTCCTGAGAAATTTTAAAAAATAGATATATAAAACACTAAAACATTTTTAATATAATATGCACAAGACAAAAGAGTAAAATGGGGATTTAGATGTGCCAGCCAGGATCATGTTGACCTTTGGTGACCTGAGCCGATACTTAGAGCAGAAAAACCCTAATCTTAGAAAAAAAGAAAATCAAAATTAGCAACAAATATAAAGGAAATCAAAATCATATGTATATAATTTAAATATTATGATATTGGTACAACAATTTATTGAGTAAAATAATTTTA